ACACCCCCCTCCCCCCGCTCCATCCCAGCAGCAGGAATGGAGCATCCCATCGGACACCTACAGTGGGACAAGTGCAGGTACCCCAAACCCTGGTACCCCAACACCAAGGAGATAGGGATGGGCACTACAAGGAGGGGTGCAGGGGAGCCCAACCCCTGACGCAAATGGGACAAATGGGCCTCCCAGGACAGCCTCAGCCCATCATGTGAGGGGAAAAGGAAGCTGCATCTCCCCCCTCCTGCATGGCAGCACATTGGGAAAGAGGAATAAAGAAAACGACCATTTTATTCTCTCAAACAAGGTCTGTACCCGAGGCCCAAAGGCATCACCGTGCCCAGGCAGGAGTAAATCCACCCCAAACCACATAGAAATAACTTAACTGGAGTAAGAGGCCATGGGGCCAACCCAAGAGTGGCTGAGCCAGGAACTGGGATTCATCCCAACAGGCACCTCCCCAGCGACCCGCGCCCTGGGAAGTGCTCTGGATAAAGCTACAGCCACCCCATAGCCCACCCCAGCACCCTCAGAGCAGCCCATTCCCCACCTCAGGCAGAGGGGATGGCCCCAGGCCACAGCAGGGACAAGGCACAGAGGTGATCCCAGCTCGGACATGAACAGCACCAGGGGTGGCTGGATCCTTCCCAACGCTGCTGTGGTGCCTTCCTTGGATGGGGAGGGGGTGCCAGGGCAGCACCCCCATGGCTTCCAGCACAGGATGACCCCAAGAAGCAGGAACAAAGCCGGTGCTATCCATCCTCTGGTGCTCTCTGCCACCTCCTCCCCGGTGACAGTCTTGGTGCCAGGACATGGAACATGGACACCATGACCGTACGGAACACCAGCAGTATTTGATGAAGGCAGCACCCACAGCACCCTGGGTTGGCTTCATTGAGCACCCCCAAGCCCAGGGCAGCATTGCAGCGTCTTCCTAGCACTGATGGCTGTGGGTCCCCTCTCTTGGGATGAGGGATGGGGAAGCCCCAACTCTCCTTCCACAGCTCCTTAAGCAGGGAGACAACGTTCCAACAAAGTCCTTATGGTACCAGCTCCCCCCTTGGCTTCCCCCCAGAAGGAGGAGGAGGAGGAGGGAGCAGATGCTGGTCAGGTCATGTAGCGGGTGACGGCTCTCAGGGCATAGAGCAGAGCCGCCTGCATCCGAGCCTCCAGCAAGAGGAGGTTGATGTGCACCTACACAGGGAGAGCAGGGTCAGGCCATGGAGGGGCTCAGCACCCCCAGGATGAGGAGGGGAAGGGATGGGACAGCACCTTCTCCGAGTGCTTGAAGTGTCTCCAGAACTGTGTGTACACCTGCTTGGTTGTCTTCTCCGGGTAGCAAGCCACCGTCTTGATGTAGATCTTCAAGTTGCGCTCCAGGAGCTGATTCACCTCCCCATAGTCATAGTCATCATAGCTGGGACAAAGAGGAGAGCACGTTACTCCAGGCACAGCCATGGGACCCCCCAGCAGCATCACTTTGCCTTAGCCTAAACAGCAGCACCAAGACCAAGTCCGACCCCTCAGGCTGGAGCCGCACATGGGCTCTACCCAAGGTGGAGGCCAGGCTCATGGACCCACCGGATGCCAAAGACACAGTGGACGTAGTTCCAGATGGCCCTGCGCAGCATGGACGTGTCCACGCCGCAGTGCATGGCGATGGTGTTGTACGTCAGGTTGTAGACGACCTGGAACTTCTCATCCAGGAGCTGCCCCACGTCGGGGTAGAGGCGGTTGATGAGCGAGTAGCCGTGGTCCTCCCAGGTGTAATCCTGCCGGAGAAAGGATGCTGGGGTAGGGAGCTGATGGGGAATCGTGGGGCCATAGGTTCCCAACCTGGTCTGGGTTGGAAGGGACCTTAAAGCTCATTCAGCTCCACAGGCAGGGACCCCTTCCACTGGAGCAGCTTGCTCCAAGCCCCTGTGTCCAACCTGGCCTTGAGCACTGCCAGGGATGGGGCAGCCACAGCTTCTCCATTAGACCCATACCAATGTCCCAGCACCCTCACAGTGGTGGAAAAATTCCTTCCCAAGATCCCATCTCCATTTCCCTCGGGCAGGTTCAAGCCATTCCCCTTGGCCTGTCCCTACAGGCCCTTGTCCCAAGCCCCTCTCCAGGTTTCCTGTAGCCCCTTTGGGCACTGGAGCTGCTCTGGGGTCTCTCCTTAGAGGCTGAACCAGCCCAGCTCCCTTCAAAGCCAGGGACCAGCCCCCTGCATCCCTTCCCTTTGTGCAGGATGGGATGTGAGCACCCACCTGCGCACGGAAGGTGGGGGGTGCCTGCTCCCCCCTCCGGGTGAAGTCCTTGTAGCCGAACTCGGGGTCCTCCACGAAGCAGAGCACGTTGGACTGCAGGGAGTGATCCGCAAGGTCTACAAGACACCACCGCAGCGCCCATGGGTGATGTGGGGTCATCACAGAGTTCATCCTGCTCACCCCTGCACTGTTCCCAGCTCCTTCCCCCTCCCTGCCCCACTTCAGGCCAGCAGCACCCCTGCTCCTCCTCACCCGAGGGAGCCACCAGCAAGCTCTCCGTCTTCTCCATCTCAAAGCGCGTTTCCATCTCCTCCTGCGTGACGCCCTCCTCCTCCTGCTGGCTCTCCTGCAGCAGCTTCATCCTCTCCATCAGCACCTCCACCTCCTGCATGGCGTCTCTGGCCTGGGGAAGCAGAGCCCAGGGTCAAGGCTGCAGAGGGGTTGCAAAGGGGAGCATGGAGCTGCTTGCAGCTCTGAACCAGCCCCAGCCCCCAGGCCTTGCCCAGACCCTGGCTCTTCCCATGCCTCATCCCTGGCACTGGGAAGATGGCTCTAAAGCTGCTCCCAGTGGCAGCCCCATAGGGCACAGTCCATCACCCCACCATGCCCTCCCTCCCCACGCCAGCCCCTGCAGGGCAGAGCCCCCTCTTTTACCCCAGAGCCCCCCATGCTGTCCTCAAAGGCCGGGCTGCTGTCGCTGTGGGTCGGGGGGGGGCAGCAGCCCTGTACCCCCTCCGGATCCTCCTCGGGGTTGATGCCGCAGCCGAAGACGAAGGATGCGAGGGAGTGGTAATGGGTGAGGAGCACCAGGGCCTGCACCAGCTCTGCCAGGGACCAGCTGTTCTCCCCTGTCTTCAGCAGGGCCTGCAAGGGACATGGCATTGGAGAGACCCCCCCATCACACCAGAGCCATGGGGCTGGGAGGCATGAGCAGGTTTGGGATGTGCCTCCATAGACCAGCCATAGGGCACAAGCCACCCGTTCCCATGGCTTCAGGATGTGCCCCCCCCCCCCCCCCCCAGACTGGCTGTGGGGTTTGGGGTGCTCTCACCTCGATGTGCTCCTTGGTGATGAGCCAGGGCCGGTGTGCCAGCAGCTTGTTGATCTCATTGAGGTTCCTGAGCTTCAGGGGGGCACAGTGCAGCCCCTGCAGCCACAGGGGGTTCCCCCCCACCTGCAGGAACTCCCCCATATGCAAGCCCACCAGGTAGGAGCACTGGTGCCGAGCTGCTGCCTGTGGGGAGAGCCAGGGCAGTCAGCACCAACCCTGCGAGAAGGCCTTGGAGAAGCCACAGCAAGGAGCCACCACCTCCCTCCATCCCTCTTGGAGGGTTTTCCTTAGGGATGAGTGTCCAGACAGGAGTCTCTGCCCCCCCCCACCACCATCAGCGCCAGTCTCCACAGACTGGAGGGGAAGGGTGATGGGTACCCAGGGCACCAGTACCAGTACCCCAGGATGCCGGGTACCCAGGATAGGGACCATGCGACCAAGCCTCTGGGACTACAGCTCTGAGAAGGACCCATCACTGAGGTCCCAAAAGCCCAGGAGAGGAACCCAGAGCCCAAAGCAGCTCGATGCTCACCATGATGGCGATGTAGTGGCGCTTGTGGTAGGGCAGGGGCCCATCCATGCGCAGCAGGAGGCACTGGGTCTTCCAGAAGCTGCTGAGATACTGGGGGTGCAGCCCCATGACCATGGTGATGTTGTCCACCCGGCCTGCCGAGACGAAGGCCTCGATGAGGAGCTGGCGCAGGCGGCTCTCCATGCCCTCCTGCAGGATCTGTGGGCATGGGGAGAGGAGGACTTTGTGCTGCAGCCCCCCCTGTCCTATAGAAACTCCCCCTAAACCCAAGCATCAGGATCCAGCAGCCCCCATCCCAACCCCTGAGCACTCACCCCTGCCCGGTACGGACACCGCCTCTGCTCCCCACTGCTCCCAGCTCTGGGGGGCTCCATGGCGGACCCTGCACAGCCCCACCAGTGGGGTTGTTTGGTTGTTTGGGCCCTGGTATGCAATGGGGAGGAGGAGATGGGTCCCGCCCCCCCCCAGCCTCTCCGGGTGACGAAAGCACTCTGTTATCTCCAGTGCAGGAGGAACATCTGGGACACAGGCACCGGGTGCTGAGATAGGGCTGAGGGTGCCCTATGGGGACCACAGGGTGTTATTGGGGGTGGCAGCCCAGGGGGAAGGCGTTTGGATGAATGGGGAAGCTGAGGCACGGCAGGGTGGAACACAACTGCTCCCCCCCACTGCCACAAGGGGGACAGCAGAGTGGGGGCCCTTCCCATCGCACGCCAGCACCAGCAATAGGGGGTGGGAATCCTGCCCTGCTCCCCGCCAGCACCCACCCAGGACCATCGCCATCCTCTCACCTCCTGCAGGGGGATGAAGGCGCTGGGCCCCTTCTCCAGCTCCGGGGGGACCTGGATCCCTGTGTCCTAGGAAGGAAGGAACAACGGTGTCAGCCTGGCCACCGAGTGTCCCAGGGACATGGGTGTCAACGGCAGACAGGGGACACACAGCACCCATGGGTGCCAACTGCAGAGAGGGGACACGCAGCACCCATGGGTGTCAAACGCAGACAGGGAACACACAGCACCCATGGGTGCCAACTGCAGAGAGGGGACACACAGCACCCATGGGTGTCAGCCGCAGTCATGCAGCACCCATGGGTGTCAACTGCAGACAGGGCACATGCAGCACCCATGGGTGTCAACTCAGACCGGGGACACACAGCACCCATGGGTGCCAGCTGCAGTCATGCAGCACCCATGGGTGTCAACTGCAGACAGGGCACATGCAGCACCTCTGGGTGCCAACTGCAGACCGGGGACACACAGCACCCATGGGTGCCAGCTGCAGTCATGCAGCACCCATGGGTGTCAACTGCAGACAGGGCACATGCAGCACCTCTGGGTGCCAACTGCAGACCGGGGACACACAGCACCCATGGGTGCCAGCTGCAGTCATGCAGCACCCATGGGTGTCAACTGCAGACAGGGCACATGCAGCACCTCTGGGTGCCAACCGCAGACCAGGGACACACAGCACCCATGGGTGCCAACCGCAGTCATGCAGCAGCCATGGGTGTCAACTGCAGACAGGGCACATGCAGCACCTCTGGGTGCCAACCGCAGACCGGGGACACACAGCACCCATGGGTGCCAACCGCAGACCGCACACCCCGCTCTCCATGGTGCCCTGTTAAGGACTTTGCCATCACTCCCAGCAGGATGCTGCTGCCCTGAGTCACCACTGAAGAGCCTGGGGAGACACTGGGGTGACAGCGGGTGCTGAGCTGGCTCGGTGCTGACTCACGTCTGGGGGCAAAAGAGCTGCTTTGGTGCTCCAAGAAGCTTCCTTGGGACCCCAGCAATGCAAATCTATGGGGACAGACCGTAGGTTTCCAACCCCGGGTGTCAGGAAGGAGCCTGGAGCCCGGCAATGACAGCTCAGGGTGACCTTGCGAGGTGCGTTTTAATCATCCCTCCGAAGAGGCTCCTTCTGTCCGGCTGCATTAAGCGATGCTCAGCGGTTAACCCGCACTGCACCACCGCTGCCTCCTGCTTCCACTGCTGGGGACACTGAGGCACGGAGGCGAGGCGCTGGCCCAGACCTGCTCCCAACCTCCAGCCTGCCCTGGGGCTCTATGGAGGCGCTGGGGAAGGAGTTAATTCCTCGGGAGCAGGCGCGGGGTGTGCCAAGCAGCGCCGGAGTCAGTGCTTAGTCAGGTGTTGGAAAATCATTCCCGATAAGGGGAGGTTAAGCAAACACCCTGCAGGCAGAGCGGGTCTGCCCCTCGGAACCATCTCCTGCCTGGAATGGGGCTGGAAGCTGCCCCACGGCTGTGCTGGGGGGTGAGAGCAGCGCCAAGGGCACGGTGGATGGGACGGTTCCAGCCCATGGTACCAAGGTCTAGGGCATCCCCACCAGCACCGGCCTCCCCCAGCTGGCTCCAAAGCACCAGGACAACACGGGAGTGTTAAGACTTTACTGTCTTAAACGGATGCAATCCCCAGCTTCCCAGGGAAGTCGGAATGTTGGGGAACCGAAGTTGCAGACTGGCAACAGGGGTATCCCATAAAACCCCACAGGCACCTCAGGGACTCACATTCTACACATTAGCCTCCAAGTCCAAAAGCCATGGGTGATGCCAGGCATGGGGACATGGAAAGAGATCCCATTCCGAGTCGGGAACAGCAGCAATTGGATGAAACCCCCAGAGGCCCCTTGTCTCACCTCCCAGCCCACACCTCCAGGCACAACCTCAGCTCCACAGCATTAAGGACATCCCAAAATCTCCCCTTCCAACTATCCCAATGCCAGCACCCCTGGGTGGGCTCCCGGCAGCACTCTTATCCTTAGGCTGGAGCCGGCCCCGGCTCTTCCACCACATCCCCGCTCCCTACAACCAGTCCCTAAGGGGGAGGCAGCGGATGGATCACCGCATCCCACCCCGGGAGGGCGATGCCAAGCGGGATACCCCCGGCCCTTACCTCGCAGCCCCGCCGGCCCCCACAGCCCCGGTACTGCCGCAGCCCCGCGGGGCCGCACGGAGACCCGGCCACCAGCATGGCGGGGCCGGCCCCGGGGGGGGGGGACACGGGGGGTCCCGGGGTCCCCCCGGCCTCTTGAGCGCTGCAAGCTCCCGATGCCCCGGCGCCCGCCCGGCTTTCATAGCGCGGCGGCGGGCCGGCCACGCCCCTTCTGCGGCTCTGCCAATGGGCAAAGAAGAGGCGTGGCCAAGGCGCGGCCGTCAGCCAATGGGGAGCGGTGGCGGCGCGGGGAGTGCTGGGGGTTGTAGTTCGCGGTGGGTCCCCGCGGGAGGAGCCGGACCGTCACCCGCAGCATTCCCATCCCTGGATACAGGGAGCGGTGGGAAACGACTGCTGGGGCCAGGGGGGAAAGGAACCAGCTAGAATCCCCCTCCTGCCACCCGCAGTCCCCCATGCATCCCTGCAGGACACTGCGATTCACCCAGCGAGGAGGAGCCCCAAGAGTTGCAGCTCCCATCCTCTGGAATAACACCACCCAAAGCCAATAAAAACGGAAAGAAGTCAAAAAATACCCCCCTCATCCCCACCGTGGGCAGCCACCGACGGCTGCACTGATAACAACCTGCTGCTGCTTGACAGCCTGCACATGGCAAAGTCCAGCCGATGGGAACTGCTGCACAAACAACTCCGGATTTGCCTGGAAACAGCTTCCAGCAGCTCCGGGCCCAAGCTCCGGCCCATTAACCCAGCATGGCATGAACCCAATGTGGCGGCACAGCCAAGAGTGTCAGATGCCCCCTGGACGGCTGCTCCTTGTCCTCGTCCCCTTCCTGGCGTGGCTCAGACACCCAACACCCTACTGCTATTTATAGGGGTGTTTTGCTGCCTCTGTTCTCCCCTTTCTGCCCAAAAAGCTCTGGACACGAGGGTGACACGTTGACATGGCCACAGGGACCACGGGGCTGTGCTGAGAGGTGGGCTCACCTCTCCCGGCAGTGATCCAGCTGGAAATGCTGCCAAGTGTCCAATATAAAAATATCCCATCAGAAGACAGCAAAGGCTGTGCCAGGAGGATGTTTTCCCAGGAGCTGGCATGCTGGTGCAGGGAGCAAGAGCAGAGCAGCACACAATTTATCCCATCTGTTCCACAGCCCCAGGTCAGTCCATCCCAGCTGATGAGCACCAGGGTTTGTACCCTGCCATGCGGGTGCCAGAATCCTGGAATGGTTTGGGTTGAAAGGGACCTTAAAGCACACCCAGGGCAGGGACACCTTCCACTAGAGCAGGTTTCTCCAAGCCCCTGTGTCCAACCTGGCCTTGAGCACTTCCAAGGGACGGTGCCTGCAGCCCTGCCCTGAGCAGCCTGGTCCAATGCCTGAGCACCCTTTGGGGAAGGAATTGTCCCCAGTCTCCATCTAAACCTGCCCTGGTGCAGCTTGAGGCTGTTTCCTCTTGTCCCATTCCTTGTTCCTTGGGAGCAGAGACTGATCCCACCTCACTGCAGCCTCCTGTCAGGTACTTATAGAGAGCAATAACGTCCCCCTGAGCCTTCACCAGGTCCCTCAGCAATGCCTCCTCAGACTTGTGCTCCAGGCTCTGTTGCCCACTTGCTCCTCAAGGAAATACAACTGGAGGAGGGTTTCTCCATGCTGGTTGATCCCAGGCACACAGCAGCATTCCAGCGAGGCCCAATGCAACATTCCTTGGAAAAAGGGTGACAAAGGAGACACAACATTTCCTTGAGAGAGGAACCTGAGAGCTGAACCCAACCACCCTGTTCCCAGCACCACCAATCATGGGAAACAAGCGACAGCTCAGCAATTCCTTAGGGACTGACAGTGCTCAAGACGCTGACTGGACAACTCTTGCTTGGGTTGAAGAGCTGCAAGGAAGCTGAGCAGGGAGGCAATGTCTATTGCTCAACATAAGTCACCTTAGAGCAAACAGCAAGGTTGACTGGGGACAACTGTTTGGGACGTCACCAGGTTGGTGGTTTTGGCCAGCCTGGACTCTGAGGACAAAGGGAAGCAGCAGAGACCACGCAGGGACTGTCCATAGGGAGCCCCTGGAGCAGATAAGACACCCATCATTAAGTGTTTCCCTTCCTCACATGCCCCACTCCTGTAGGAAGTTGTAGGAGCTGGATCACCCCCATGGCTGCTCACCCCACACCTCCCCAGGTGAAAACCCACCAGCACCAAGCCTTGGGGAGCTGGAAGAAGGAAGCCCAGCCCATTTGTGGGGAGAAGAAGAGGATTCCTTTGCAGCTGCACCGTTTGGAGCCATAGAGGTCACTGCTAATGTGGTCCTTGGTACTGCAGCACCTCCGAGGCCAACAGGAGCATCCTGCTCCATCTATGTTTCTATACCAAAGGAGGACGCACATGTCTTCTGCAGCATAAATACCTTAGAAACAGTGGTTCCTACTGGCTTGTGATCCTCACTGCTCTGGAAGCTTTGGGAACAACAATAGGAGGGAGCTGCTATCCCCACGTGCTCTGGGAGCAGGGACTGAACACAGTGGAGCTGGTCCAGAACTGGTAAGGACGGGGGTTACAGCCAAAACACCTTTGGACTCCGGGAGCTCTGGAGGTTCCCTTTGGAAGAAGGCAAAGGGCAGCTGAGTTTTCTTCACGGAAATCTTGTGAAAAAGGGGAAAACTTCACCCCAAAGGCACAGGTCTCATTGCCAGTTTGCTCCCTTCATCTCCAGCCCAAGGCTGCTGCTCTCCCCTCCTGGCTCAGCTACAACACATCACTCACTACAGCTTGAAAGGATTTAAAGATCCTCAGTGTTGGGGTTCTTTAGAGCCCATTTTAAAGCCTGTTGCCCCCCCCGTGCTCCCAGGAAAGCCCAGCAATGAGGGAGGAATGGAAGGGAATGTGGTGCTGAGTAATTACAAGGCTGGTTAAGTCAGTTGACTTCTGCTTGAGCAGGTTTAGTTCTGCTGCAGGTACATGCTGCTATTAGGCTGCAAAAGAGTTTCAGATCCTTGCCAGGGGCCCTGCAAGATGGTAAAGGAGATATTCAGGCAAGTAATCACTTAAGACAAACCAGGTTAAAATCTAATCCTCTTGGTTAGGAAGTGCTTTGCAAACCCAAGCACCTTCAGCTCCCCAGCTCAGCACTGCAGAGGCCCTGAGCTTCAGGCAAGGCACAGCCAAAGATCAGCTCAGCTGAAAGGATTGGAATGGGGAAAAAAGCTGGAACTCAGTTTTTACCTGGATTTGGTTACTAGCAAGTGGCTGAGATCAGTGTGTCCTATTTAGGTGTGTTCAGTTACTATGAAAACTGTGTTTTCCTAAGGCTTTGGAATAAAGCAATCACAACCCAAAATGAACTGAATATATCTATATTCCTTCTGCAAGCACTGGATAAACCAGGTAAAGGCAGGAGCCAGCCATTTCTTACCCAATGCCTGGCTGGAAAGTGCAGCAATTCCCTGAATCCAGCTGGAATCTCCCTGCAGCTCCACAAGGCAGACACCAGGAGGTTCTTTGCCTGGCTCCAGCTCTCCCCGCTGCGTCGGAGCTCAGCCTTTGGCACATCAGCTCTCATCTATCTCCTGCCCTGCTGTAAAGCAGGATAATTGGGCCCATTCCCATTGCTGTGCTCAGCAGAGATAAAGCACGGCTGGCACACTCAGGCAGCAGCAGGAAGGTGCCAGCTCACCTTCTCAAGGGGCAGTTTGTCATCCAGGCACCTGAAAGCAAGCATAAGGAGGAGGAAGAGGAGGCATGAGGAGCTGCTGAAAGCTGCAGATTTAAGGCTCAGCTCAGTGACACGCTGTGAAGGACACATTGGATGAAGCACAGTGGTTTGGAACCCTCTCCCTGTGTATCCCCAGGGGGTTCTGCCCTGATCGAAGGCACTAAGCCCTGTTTTTTGGCACAGGTACTTGTAGAAGGCATCCCCCTGCACTGCAGAAACAATGGGAGGCTGCAGGGCTCGAAGCAGGAGAGCTAAGATTGGCCTTCCCCCACCCTGCAATGCAGGGAGCAGCCGTTCAAGGACACAGCAGGTAAACAGACAGGGAAAGCACTCAGTGCTGACCCGCAGCTCCCACAGGACAGAGACATTCCCAAATTGAACTCTCCAGGAGGTTTTCACTCCCGGATTCCTGTTGGGAAAGGAGCAGCTTTAAGAAACAAGCCCCAAAGCCCTGGTCTTCCTCCAGAGTTGGGGCTGGGATAAGGGGAAGACTTCACATGGTGTTTACTCACCTCCATTGCATCCCCCCTTCTCCCCCTGGCTTCTTGTTTCTATGCTCTGCCTTCATTCTTGGGGAAGAAAATACAGCCCAGATCCCGTGGGATGCAGCTGGATGGGTCCTGGGAAGCTGGATGTAACCAAGTAACAAGGAGCCTAGCAACAGCCTTCATCAGCAGGATTTAAAGGGGGAAATGAAAACAGCAAACAACAGAAACCCAGCATCTCAGTCCCACACGCAACCAGACCCCAAAGCAACACTATGGGTGCTGCGACCACCAGGAGCTAAAGCAGCTGTGGGCAGGGGAAAGTGCTTTGGTTTTCCTGCAGGTAAAGAGAAAGTCTGAGACACAGATGAGGCTTTTTGAAAACACTTTTACAGTCGCCAAAGAGTTTTGTACAAATCAAAGCATCCCGTTGAAAATCGCCATTAGTACAAACATACAAAGGAACGATGTTCTGACTACAAATCATCAGCTACTCGGGTGCATGATCCATTCAGCACAGTTAAAAAACCCCCATCGTATATACAACAGGGCCCTTCTCCCTCTTCTTTTACCCTGAGGGAGGTGAAAAAGCAAAGCCCCCAGTTAAAAAAGCCCCACCAATGCACCTCATATCCTAAGAAGGTGTGAAGTAGAAAATCTGGGGTAGTATTTCTCCGCTGGCAAAGGGCAACAGCTTCAGTTTTGTCTTCTTGTTTTCACCTCAAAATAAACCCATACAACCAAAACCAAGCCCATGGTGCTGGGTCGGATGCTCCAGCATGCTCCTACCATGCTGGGAGCCAACATCATCCCAAAAAGTGCCTTCAGTAAAATCATCTTTAATAGGGAAAACCCAATCATCACAAGCTCGAGTGAAGAGCTTCATAAAGCCCTGCATCACAAAGGTTTCTCCTCTCTCTATCCACCTTCAGCACCAGACCATGGTTCCATCTCCCACTCCTCCTCTCTGCATCCGGCCCCACACACCGCTCCTCATGCTCTGACTGGTGCTGGGATGCTGAGGAGCAGCCCTGCCCTCTGAGAGCTGCACCCCAAGAGGCAGAGCATGGGGAGTGCTCACCTCAGAGAGGTCTGTGGTCTCTGGGCTGCTTCTGAGAAGTATGTCCCTGTTCCAGGGAGCTTTCATAGCCCTTTGATTCCGCTGGCTTCTGCTCAGCAGTGAGGAACAGCCCTGGAGAGCCCCACAGAACACTTCCTGAGGAAGCACTGTCCTAATCCAAGCCCTGCTTCTGCAGCTGGAAGGGAGCTCTGGGGAGCTCAACCCATGGAGCAGAGGGAACAGCCAAGCCTTGGATGCTCCTTTTGTAAAGAAACAAAGTGAAAGATGCTTGATCACACCAAGCTGCAGAAGTCATCAGTGCCCCCCCGGTCACCAAGTAACCAGGAGGAAGGGGGGGTGTCTGTATCCTTACACTCTGGCTCCCAACCTGAAATCTATTGGAAGAAAACAAGAAAACACAACCCCAGGCAGTTTGGTTTTTCCATAGAAAAGAAGAAAAACCCCAGAAACAAACCCAAAACCTCCTTCCAAGAGAAATACAATGCCCCCATTTTGGGAGCATCTTCCAGAAAGGCTGGATCAAGCATTCTCAGCAGTGGCACAATGTTCCAGTAACATCTGTCGGGCTGGTGGTTTATCAGCTTCCTTTTGAAAAGGGAAGAGTTGAAGGGAAACCAAGCTCCCACCACATGCAGCTCCCGACTGGCCACGGCTATTGCCTCACAGCAGCAGGTTGGGAACCAAGCAAAGTCTCTAATGCAGCAGGTTCCTCTTTGCTAATAGAAAGGGTTGGCAGTGGTAGGAACTGAAAGAGATATTTAGGATGGCTGGGACCTCTCCCCATGGATCACCGTGGTACTAGGCTGGTATTCAACAGAGATGGACGGGGACCAGCCACGCTCAGGATGCTGTCGAAAGGCAACACACACACACCAGGCGTTTCCATCGAGTCCGCAGCAGGGGGAGAGGGACCACACTGAGGTTTTGGCTTCCAGCAATCAGGCAGGTCTCCCAGAGTCCTTGGCTAATGCTGGAGAAAGCTCCCACACTGGGGGTTTGGTTCTAAGGGGAGGTTATTGCTCCCGACTTCTCAGGCTTTTTGCCCTTCGATAGGGCAGCTGCTTGCTTCAGGAGTTCTCTGTTCTTGGCCTGGAAACACAGTGAAAATGGGGATTTAATGGATCATCATTAGTTCTTGGGCTCCTAGAACTGGCTGGCCACAAGCTGCTGGCTTCAAGCAGGCAGATGAAAAAGGAGGTGAATGTGGCTCTGTGGCACCACAGCACGAGCTCAAGTCTGGCATCTCATCTCTAAGCACCTAGAAAAGGCTCTTCCACCCTTTTCGCCTCATGGCCCACTGCTGCAAGGAAGAAGTGAGAGCCCTGCATTCCTACCAGCTTTCCAAACCCATGAGAGCACCACTGTGTAGTAACTTATTCTGGTTTGCAGTCAATTAAAACTCAGATCAACTTACAAACAAGGCTCTCCAGCCCCTTTTACCAGACTTTGGAGCTCACTCTTCTCTATTCTAGGAAATAAATCATTTTCTAGCCTATGATAAACCATGCTCCAGCTGTAGGATAAGGAGTAAAACCTGTGTGAAGACAGATACAGGTCCTCTGTGTTAGTTCCCAGTGAATGAATGACTGTGTAAAAAGGAATTAAACCATCTGCTCCAGTGCTGCATGCAGTAAAGCAGCTTCTTTTGCCTCCTGCAGATTGGAAGCATACAGGCAACTCCTGCTTCCCCCCATGGAAAGAAAAAGACAAAGCAACAGCATATTCTAACAGTGAATCATAGGAACTCTTCAAGGCACCTTCAGTACACCGAGAGGATGTGAACTTTTATTTGGCATCAGTGAAGAGAAGTTTCCAGAACCTCGGTCAACACCAGCTGAAGGAAAACACTGGGACACAACAAAGAGAATGTATTCCAGGCAGGAAAGCACTGCAAGGAGGGCTCATCTCCCTCTCAGCCCTTGACCTCCTGGCCAAGGCAAGCAAAAAGCGGAGGTCTGTGCTAATGGCAGTGTCTGTTCCAAACTGCAGTGTCTGGACACCCAAAGAAGAGGGAGAGAGCTCAGGGCTGACACAGGCAGTGCAGGATCGCTAAGAGCACGGCTCAGTGGCTCTGTCAGCCCCTCAAACACAACCCACCAGTGCTCACGAGGATGGAAACACATCCAGCCCTCCGCACAGTACACACACACACAGACAGAACCCGTCTTCCACTCTGATCAGTGACTTGGGTGTGTGCTGCTGGAGGAGGGGTTGTTTGCTCCAGGGGAATATGAGCCTTTGGTCTTAGCCCCTCCTATTTCTCATTGCTAGGGCTTGAGATCATTCCATCCCCCAGAGCAATTAAAGGGTGCAAAGTTCATTTCTGTGTCTGATTTCTTCCCTGTAACCAGCTCCCCTTTGACCTGATCTCTTTGGTGGCTCACAGGGTATTCATCCTGATTGTCTGCCTCCTGTTTCCATGGCCATGACAGGAATCCTGCTCTCCCTGTTCCCTCAAACCTGCTTGATTTGGACTCCAGAGATGCAATGCTAAGGAACTGCCAGTTGTTTCTTGAGCTTTTGTTCTCTCTGGTTGCTGGTCCCATAAATCACATTAAAAAGGGGGGGCAGACAAAGGTTCTACTGTCTGGAGAAACGGGTTCAAACCTGATTTTGGCAGTAGCTAAAATGAGTTTGATGGTTCCCCTCAACTTTACAATAGAGTAAGAGGAGAGAGCAGCAAGGTGAACATAAATAGGGGTTACAATGCACTGCAGTCTGCTACAGAACTGGCAGGACAGGGCTGAGGAGCATTAACAGAGCTGTGTGTGCAGCAGCTCACAACTGACTGCTCTCAGTTACTCCTGGGTCCAGCAGAGCTCAGCAAATGAGAACAAAAAAGCTGTCACCTGTAACTGCTCCATGACCTCCTTGTGTGTCTTCTCCATCTGGTTCATCTTTGCCCTCATCTGCGACTCCTGGTACTGCAGGTCAGCTTTCAGCTCGGTGATCTGCAAAGAAACCAGTCAGGAGCAAGTGAGCTGGAAGAAGAGATTAATGCCTTCACCCCCCATGCACCCTGCAGAAACTGTGTGAGACTGGATGAGTTCAGGAACATGCTGGGGGAGTGCAGCCAGAAACTCTCTTCCTCATTCCCAAGATAAAGCCAGACCCCATTGGAGTGTGATCTGTGTGAAGATGTCAGCATCTGACATGGGGGGAAGCAAGGCAAGGGCTGTACCTTCTTCTCCTTCTCCAAAATCATCTGGTCTTTCTGGTGCAGCATCTTCTTTAGAGTAGCCACTTCCTCCTTCAGCTGGGCAATGATAACAAAGTGGTCAGTGCCAGGAGAGTCCAGGGCGAGGTCTGGAGAAAAACTGCAGCAAGAACAGGGAGAGACTCTCATCACAACCCCTCCTCTTCACCAAGGCAGGAACCCCCCCCCCCAGAGGGTACTGAAGGAGAAAAGGAATCATTTAATGACACACTGTGTCCTCCAACTGCTCCTTGAACGCAGGTGGTACCTGTATCCCTGCTCTGGATGACACAGGAACACAAGGAACAGGGATTTCATGTGCTATATCAAGTTGTGTTGTTGCACAATCAGCAGGGATGCAGCACTGCTATGGGTGACCATCAACCAGTGTCTGCAGCAACCATTCCAAGAGTCCAGATCTTTATTCAAACCCAAGAGTTGAGACAGGAATGAAGCTAATGAACTTCCATGCAAACACAGAGGAACTCTCTTTGCTCTTGGATGTACAGCAAAACCTCACTGAGTTCAGAGCAGGAAAGGCTCTCTCCAGGAAGAGAAACAGCTGCACTTACACACCACCAGGCACTCCAACCCTAAGCAACCAGCTGAAAACTTACCTGGCCATGAGTCACCCACCTGCCCTGGTAATCCCTACATTCCCCTACAAGGCAGCCGGTGACCTGGGCAGCCACATAGAGCCTTGCAGTGTGCACTGTTTCACATTGTAAGGTATGATAAGCTGCAGCCACAGGCACAGAGAGCTCACCTGATCTTTGCCTGCTGCCTGCTCCTGACTGCTGTCATGGTAAAGCCAGTTTTTATCTCTTGGTGTGTTAAAAGGGCAGCACCCTCCCAGCCACACACACCTGAAACTGCTGAATTAAACTGGAACAGCAATAAAAGAACAAAGCTTTGCCTAGAAGATTACTTCAAGTCTGGCCCTTATCAGGCCTATATAGATAATATAAAGATCTGCTATAAAGATCAAGAGCCAGGGTTACCTGAAGGCCAGCTCCTTTTAAAGTCTCCAGAGTAAGTCAACACGTTCTAAAGCCTGCATTCAGCTCTAAAGCTGCAGTGGGCTGGGGAAGGCATGGTTTGAACCTCAATCACTGCCTCTGTCAAGACACCTCCAGGCCCCATGTGGCCACCAAGGCCGAGGGGACTGGCTGCTCATCATGTCTGGAAATCACCCATTCTCTGATTAGAAGCACATTGCCTGGACTCAGCAGCAAGGATGGGGCAGAAGGAAAGGCTCTTTCCACCTCTGTGCTGGGGAGCTACAGGGGGAAGCTAAGCAGGGACAGCATCACAGATGCTGAGAGATATGGCAGGTCTCTGGGTCCACCACTGTGCTGCTCACCCTGGGCAGCTCTCAAGTGCACAAGAGGCTCATACATGCAGGGAATCTTTCCATTTCAGAACTATTCCCGAGTTTCCCAAGTGCAGGCTGTGCACAATGACGGTGGGTGCTCCAGAACCTGCCTGTGTGCAAGTCTCTTACTAACAGTAGCTTTCATTTCCCACTCAGTGCAAATATGCTGAGGAGGAGAGAAAGAAAGGATAAATTAAACCCCCAGCCTCCACAGGGAGAAAGCTTCCTCACTGATTCCCTCTTGCTGACACCCAAGCAAGCTTCCCTCCCGCGTGTCCTGGCATGACAAAGAGTGCCAGGAGATGCTCCCATTCCCCTGAGCAGCTCCAGCAGGAAAAGCTCCCTCCTTGGCAGCTCCTGCTGCCAAGCTCCCTGTGGAGCAAGGAAGGGGAGACCCAGCCCTGCCACCCAGCGGGGAGAAGGGACAGGAGGGTCAGCAGCACTCAGGAGCTGTGGGCAGAGCTGGTGCCTGCCCCCAGGGTCTGCACCCATGAGTGGGTGACAGTGGGCTCAGGGTGCCCAGGCAGCATCCCCTCCTGTCACGTATGCGAGCACAGCCCCTTGGAACAGGTCAGGAGGCCACTGCTCTCCATGTCTGAGCAGGATAAAGTGCATGTCTCTGAAGCACATGGATGAACTCCTGTTGCTTCCAGTGGAGGCAGAGGGAAAACTGGAGCAATTCCAAAGACACCTGCGTCTCTATTGAACAAAAAGGGAACCGAATGACTGTTCCATCATGGAATGAGTTGGGCTGGAAGGGACCTTAAAGTTCCAACCCCCTGCCACAGCAGCGACACCTTCCCTAGAGCAGCTTGCTCCAAGCCCTATCCAACCTGCACTGGAAATCTGGCTGGAGCCAGTACGTGCTGTAATCTGATCTCAGCAGTGAAGAGGTGCTGGCTGTGTCTCACCCCACTCCAGGCTATGCTGTGCTGCAGCAGACCCTAACTCCACACACAGGCTGACTCTGGAGAGGACAATCTTCTACATAATGGGGCAAGAAGAGAGAGTTTTGGGGGGTCTCAACCTCACAACCCCCTAACCCAGCAACTCCAAAACACCTCATAATGAACCACCATTCTTGCTGCACTCCAGAAGCAGAGCCCTGGGTCTATTTGAGGCAGCTGCAGCCTGCCTTTCCTACAGCACATTGCTGGAGCTCTTCAGGAGTTGCTAAAATTACCCACAGTTTGTTGCTGGGAGTCATCAAACAGAGTGTGTGGCAAGGAGCAGAGCCTTGGCAGGAGCCAGGCTCACAAGAGCAAAGGAAGGCATTTGATTCCTCTCAGACAGGCTTCTGGTTTGCACATGAATGACTGAGCAATTGATGCCAGAGCTGGGGACCTTTTGCTTCTTGGCTATTTGCAGTAGGGTATTACACAAATGGGCTACTACAATGAGTAGTTAGCCCAGGCTTTAGTGAGCAGATGGCAATACCTGGTGCTGTCCTACAGCCTCAGAAGGCAAGCAGGAGCCCCTCGAGAGGGAAAGCTGCTGCAATACTAACGGGCTGCATGAGTTCTACCAGGGACTTAGCTCCAGTCTCTGCTCTGGCTCCACCAGCACTGAATTCAGATAAGTTCTACTACCCATTGGAGCATTTCAAACATGAACTGACAAGGTGTCAGTGGTATCTATAGGACAGATGCAATCATCTGTGATCTCAAAAAGATGACATTCAAGGCAGGTAGTGATTCATTCATTACCAGTGGTTCTAACAGACCCTTTGGCACTAATGAGCCTATGCTCTGTGCTCCCAAATCACTGCTGTTGGGACAGAGATCCATCAAGAGGGATGGTTTCCATTGATGAGGCAGTTCCCAGGAAAGGAGGGTGGGCAAGAGGGGAGAAAACAACTCATGCTCTCACTTCAGGATGTCAGTGCCTTGAGAAACAGGACAATGGTGGGCACCGAGACTCTGCTGGGAAGCAGCCCACGGCGCCAGCATGGACGGGGCGCTCTGGATAGGGGGACAAAGCATCTCGGGAGAGGAAGGAACGCTGAGAAGCAGAGAGGAAAGGCAGGAATGAAAATCTGCATGTACGAGACCATAAAAAGAAAAAAATCAATCAAAATCCATCTCAACCTTCCTGTTTCTGCTACCTCCCATTCTGCTGCACAGACAGGCAGCATCAATCCAGCACAAACTCTGACATCAGGATGGGATCTGATGCTTTCCAGCCAAGCTTCTTGCTTGGCAGCAGAGGAGGGATACAGGAGGTGAGTTTCCATCCTCTCCTCGAAGGCAGCCCCCCTGCAGACCAGGCTGATAGCCCCAAAAGCACAAAGGCTGCAGAGCTCAAGTCAAGAGCGTAGCCAAGACCCCCCTCTCCCTCTCACTGCGGGGAGAGGCTGGATCTGATCTGGCTCCAGGGAGCTCAGCCAAGGAGCAGGTTCTATTCTAGCAGGTCCAGGCACTAGGTATTAACTTCCTCTTCAAACCCATGTCTAAATGGCAAGGAGCACTGGGCTGCCAGGCTCTGGAGAGCTGCCAATGCAGCCCCTCAATGCCCCAAAACTCAAGCATGAAAGCTTCCTGCTATTCACACAGCACTCTGTCTCATATAAAACTCCACAAATAAGACAGCCCACCCCCAATTTCCCCATGTTCCAGGCTCACCTGTCACCATTGGCAGATATGGCATCAAACTTGGCTTTCTTCTTTGGGATTTCATTCTGAATAGAAGAGGTGGATAAGGTTTTCTGGCTGGAAAAGAAATGAGGAAATAGGATGTCAGAACCTGAATGACTTGCAGTCGAAGAGAGAGAAGCAGATAAATATTCCCACCCACTTTAAGCCCATTAAACCAGTATTTTCTAGCACAAGAATGGTAAAAAATGCTGGAGACTAAAAATAAGCAGGCACCAGTGCGTCAGTCAGAGCAGTAGGCAGGTGAAGAACTGCTGCGCCCAATCTCCATTTCAAATCACGGAATTCCACAAATGCAGTTGAGCTGGAATTCTGTACAAGTTCAGGAAGCTGAAGCACCGGTGGCCTACAGGTCTACTCCAGCACAGTGGGCTTTGCAACTAGCAAAGCCTCACTTAGGCAGAGCCTCCTGAACAACAGCCCAAAACCCATCGCTGCAGGTGGGTGCTTCTCCCAGTTCCTTTAGGAAGTGCACCTAAGGAGCATGGAGCAGCCAGGCCCCCCGGCTGCTCACCCTGTACATGCAGGTTACCTGTTGTAGTGGCTGCCACTGCTGAGCCTGCTGTACTGTTCCTTCTCCTGCAGGCCTGCCCGGGAGGAGCTGCTCAGGTGTTTGCACTGCTCTTTGGTCTTCTGTAGGACCCGTTTGTAGGACAGCGTGCACAACCAGCACAGCAGCTTCCCATCCACCTGCAACGTGAGAGTGGGACAATCTAGGGGCTTGTTTTCAGCCCACAAACCAAACAGGGTGAAGGCAAGAAGCAACTTCAGGCTTCAGATCACATATGAACAAGCAGTGACTCAGGAAGTGCCTGGAAAGGGTTAGCAGTGCATCTGGCATGGCTGGCACAATGCAGACAGGGTTCCTCAAAAGAAGCTTCTCCATCCTAACCACAGCCTCTGCCAGGCTTTGCTTACAGCCCATCTAACAGCACCCATTCACCAGGACAGGCTAACTCAAGTGGGATTTCAAAGCAATGCCAAGGAACAGTATGTGCAGGGTGCTCACCCAAACAGCAAGGGTCTCATCCTGAGGACAGGGATTACCAGTGCATTACCTCAAAGGACAAACAGATGGTTACAGCCTGCAGGAACAAGGCTTCAAGCCTCCTAAGAAGCACTTGTGTTGAAGCAAAGGGTGGCAGAAGCATGGAATGTTTCCTGGCAGAGGTATGACACTTTCAGCTCCTTCAGGCTATGTCCCAGATACTGAAGGAGGTGGACAGACAACCACTGTGAGCAACCCTTTTACCTTTTGGCCTCCTTTTACAGAGATACTGACCTTTTTCCTGTCATCCTTCCTGTCAAAGGCACACTGCTGCTTGCACTGCTCACAGGAGTGTGGAGGGCCATACTTCTTCTCCGAATTTGTGCATCGCTGGCACTTGTTTCCAATAAATGCTGCTATGATGTTGCAGTACTGGCAGGGTTTGGGCTTTAAGAAACAAGAACAGAGAGAAAATATAGCAGTGCTTTCTAATTACACCAATACATTGCCCTTTCTGCTTCTCCCCATCACTTCCAAGCTTGTATTTCCTTGCTCCAATCCAAGACATAATGCAGCTGGACCCCTGGTCTCCAGCTAAGTGTATTTAGCACCCAGACCATTTATCAAGTGCAATAAAATAACTGGAAAATCTATAATACAATCCAAATCTCTTTTTAGATTCCAGACAAGCATGAAAGAAAGATTTAGCACTGCTTCCTACAGCAATCTCAGCTTTGTGTAAGCACAGTCAAAGCTACCCAATAGTTCATTTCCTGGCCTCAAATGATGCAGAGCTGCTCTTTTCCTTGTGAAAGGAGAGAAAAGGTAAAAGCTTCACCCTTGAGGGACCTGCATGTTATTGATCAGTCATGCTATTACAACAGAGCAGCCCATAAACTGCTCTGGGAGGCAGCAGGATAGACGAGGAAGATGAAAGGAACAGAGGCTGCTGCTCACTTACTGTGCCGTAGAGCTTCACATTCTGAGCACACTTCTTGCATATTGTGTTGGTTTTGCTATTAAAAGAGAAGGACAGATCATTCCATTATCACTTCCCAAAAGAACATTAAACCTCCATGGTTTAGGATCCCAGTCTCCCCTATGCTCAGTCTCTAGTGGCGAGACTGTATTCATCTTCACTAGGGAATCAGATATCAAAGTGTATTTCTTATCCCCATCTGGTTGAGGATAATTTGCCCAAAAGTGCTATAACAAAAAGCAGCTTTTAGTTAAGGCATCCCCAGATGCCACCAGGTCCTCCCAAATACAGGAGTCTGAGCACTGTCTGATTGTCAGCAGGCGTGATTCAGCACTGGTGACTGGATGAGGAGGCTAAGGCAGGGCAGGGCAGAGGTGGTTTTGTCCAACACACATAGGAAAGAACATTTCACACAACTGGGGTTACCATTTCTTCCTCTGTAACTTGCACAGCTAAAGGAAACACATTAGGAAATTAGTTTTGGGTACCAGAAATCAGGTAAGAGGGAAGCTGGTGGGAAGGTGCACCCAGCTCCTTCACTGCAAGATGCACCTAAGCACTGGCCAAAAACCAAACCAAGCAAAAAGTGCCCATCTAAAGACACCATAGACGTGCTTAGAAGACCTCTGAAGAAGGCCAAGTCCTCCACAGCAACAACGTGGAGGTTAAGGCTCAGTCACTGAAGGGGTGGAATCATTCTGGTGTGCCTGCTCTATAGAAAACACTGGGCTCCCCCACTTCAGAGGGCGTTTACCTTTCCTGCTGGAATTCAGTCCTGCAGTAAGTGCATTTGACAATGGGATGTGCAATCCGGCATTCCTGCAGGAACAGCAGCATTGGGTGAGAGGCAGCGCTTCCCTCCCACACCAGCTCCCCACGTCCCAGCTCACCCGCTGACCCCATGCACACCCACCCATCAGGCAGGACATTTCCTCCCGGTACCCTCACGCTGCTGACAAGGGCTGAGAGCAGAGGCAGGGTGGCAGGAGCCACGTGTGTCACAGGTAAAGGGAGGATCGTAAGGAGGGCTTATCTGTGCCCAACGCCCACTGGCCTCACCTCCCGGGGCAGGCACAGAGTGCTGCCACACGTACCCACACCTCTGCTCTCCCAGCCAAACTTAGGGGTGCCCCTAAGCTCACCCCTCTCCTTCAACATACCAGAAGATCCCCCCTAAGCATCTCCAGTCCCTTCCAAACGTCCCTGGATCCCCCAATGCTCCAAGCCTCTACCCCGCCAACGCTCCAACCCTCCCTCCTGAAAAGACCTTCCCCCATGAACATCACCCACCTCCCTCCCACTTCCCCCCCAGTGGCCCCATAAATCCCTCTCCAGCACCCCCAAACACCCCTCAATGCCCTCAGCACCGCCTGGCAAACAAGCAGTCTCTCATTACTGCACGCTCCCAGCTCCCTCCACGCCATCAGCCCCTCAACACCTCCCCCATGCCCACCCCGTGCCCTAAGACCCCAAAGAGCCACCCCATTTCCCCTACAATCCCCCCCATAAGCAGACCCCGTCCCTCTATAATCCCCCAGGCCTCTTTAACGACCCTCCCGCCTCCCCTCCCTCACAAACAGCCCCAAGCCGGCGCTGCCCCCCCTCAGCCCGCCCGGCCCCCTCGCCCCGGCCCCGCCGGACCTTGCAGAGCTGCTGGCCCTGGCTGAGCGCCTCGAAGGGGAAGCGCTGGTGGCACTTGGTGCAGGCGTACAGCGCCGCCATCCCGCCGCCCCGCTGACAGGCGCGGCACGGCGCGGCCCGCCCCGCCCGCCGAGCACCGCCCTCTGCCCGCTCCTACTGGTCAACTCAGTCGTCACTCACGCCCATACCGCTTCTGATTGGCTGCTCCTCAGAAGTAGGCGGAGCGATATCGCGTCCGCCTCCCCCGCCCTCTTCCCTCCGCGGGCGGTAGAGAAGGGGCGGCGCTGACGTCACACGGTGACGCAAAGAGGCCACGCCCTGCCCTCCGCCGCGTGACGCGCTCTTCAAGGGGGGGGATGTCCCACAAGGCTTTGCGGGAGGGGACCCGGAAGTGGGGGTTGGTTTGAGGTAAACCGAGCCGAGCCGAGCCGAGCCGAGCCGAGCCGAGCCGAGCCGAGCCCAGCCCAGCCCAGCCCAGCCGGGCCGAACCGGGCCGAACCGAGCCGAGCCGAGCCGAGCCGGCCCTAGCCGAGCGTAGGGAAGGGGCTGGGCTGAACATGGAGAAGGGCCGGGTTGGGCATGGGGAGAGTAGGTGCTAAATCCTCTGAGCTCCCCGGGGGTGCAAAGCCTGCAGCTCTCCCCTGCGTCCCTTCTCCAAAGGGAGCCTCCAGGTGCCGGTTCCGTGGGTGTCAAAGCTCGTTTCATTGGCTGCAGTCAAGAGAAGCTAAGCCGTGGAGTCCCACAGAATAAAGCCCGTTATTCCTGCAGGTTGAGCGTGCCTCTCCCAGACACTGCCTTGGGGTCAGCAGCCCTGGTGAGGATGGTTAAAGCCATCAGTGCAGCAGGGGGTGGAGCAAGGGGAAGGAAACCGGAGGAGCTTTAGGGTCCCCTCCAACCCAAACCATCTATGGAAGGATTCGGACTTACTCCTGCTGCTGGGTGCCAGCACTGAAGCCTGTGCGGTTTGGCCACGTGTAACCCAAGGGGTGAGCACTGGGTGAAACTCCTCACACAGAGGGATGCAGGAGGCAGCCGTGGCAAGGGCTGTGTTTCACATAGGACAGGATAGGACTGGCAGCATGACAGGCAGGATCACTCCTACAGGCTTTTATTGCTGTAATGGTAAATTGCCTCTTCCAGAGGGCTGGGAGCATCCTCTGAGCTAATCCCTCTGCCTCCCAGGGCCCCACGTCCCTCTGCCAGCCCCCATCCCACAGGGACACGGAGGGGATGGGGCACGTGTGTCCCATCAGGCCAGGATGGGGAAGGAGGCAGCAGTGGCCACACCGCAGTTGTTGTCCTTCATGGCCATGAGGATGTAGCCGTCGTTGCCCCAGTAGGTGGACCAGGAGTTCTTGATGAGCCAGTAGCTCTTGCCGTGCAGGACCCCATAGCCCACAGCCAGCACCGCGTGGTCCAGCGCCATTGTCTCATTGCCTGGCCAGGAGAAGACAATGGAGCCACCTCATTCCCCATCCCTTGGAGCTGGAGCTCATTCTCCATCCCATATCCTCTGCCTGGATTCTCCATCCCCAGGGAGTGGGACATGGACATGGGGCTCACCACAGCGGGGCTCCTCATATACCCCATTGGCATAGAAGGCAAAGGACTTGTGTGAGGCATCGATGTTGACAGCCACGGGGCCGTGCTTGACCAGCGCAGCCTTCAGAGCCGTGGCGCTGCCCGGCTCCACGGTGACGTACGCGGCGAGTTGGGCCACCAGCTCCGACTGGTTGCAGTGGCAGTAGCCGTTCTGTGGGGAGGAGGCCGGGGTGGCACTGGGGTCCCTCAGCAGATGGGAGGGGGGCAGCACCCATAAGCCAAAGTGTAGCCTCCATCTGCTGCCAAAGGGATGGTCTGGGGGCGGAAGGCTTGGGAAGGGGGTGGCACTGCACCCTGCCACCCTCACCTGCCCCAGGTAGGGCCCATAGGACTCGGTGCTGGCGATGCCGCCGTGTTTCTTGATCCACTCGTAGGCTCTCCACTCCTCCCCCCCGTCACAGGCGTAGTTCCCGAAGCCCCAGGAGCAGTCGATGAGGACTTGTTGGGACAGGGGGGTCAGCACACCGGTCTGGGGAGGGGACACGCTGCAGGGATGGGGACAGGCACCGTCCCGGCGCCCCGGCCACCCCCATGGAGTGCGGCCCTGCTCCCACCTTGAGGAATAGGGCACCCTCCATCGCACCCGTGGTGGCAAAGCTCCAGCAGGACCCGCAGACGGCCTGGTCCTTCACGGGGGTCACAGCGCCTGGGGACACATTGAGCAGGGCATGATGGTGCTGTCCCCACGCACACCCCGGTGCGCAGAGCTGGGCTGTACCTGGGCACCCCCATGGCACCAGCACCCTCCTCACCGTAGAGCCGCCAGTCGAGGCTCTCGGGCAGGATGAGGCCGGTGTAGAGCTCGCTGGGGAAGCGCTGCCCGGTGTTGGGGGCCCGGCTGCGGCGGCGGCCCCGTAGTGCAGCCAGCTCCTGGGGCGTGCGGTCGGCCAAGTGGTTCAGGGCCAGCGTGTAGGAGAGCGCGGCGCGGTTCCTGGAGTGCACGAACCTGCCCCGTGCGGGGACGGCCTCAGCTGGCACCGGCACCGGCACCGGCACCCGGCCTCCATCCGCTGGGATGCTGCGGGAGGGAAGGAGCATCCCATCCCCTAGCCCCGCTCCCCGTCACCCTGTACCGCATGTTGTGGATGAAGGCGCGCTTGCGGTGCTCGTGCTCCTCCTCGCTGCTGTAGCTCTTGCTGAAGCGCTCCTTGTAGCGGTGGAAGAGGCGGTGGTGGATGTGGTCCATCTCCTGCGGGCGCCCCACGAACTCCTGCATGGGGTTGGCCACGATGCGGTGCTCCGGGCCGGCTGTGGGCCACTGCTTGCATTGCACCCCTGCCATGAGGACACAGCTCATGAGCCCCCCACTCTGAGTGGGGACCCCCAGCCAGAGGGCACAGCGTGAGCACCCCAAATCCAGTGGGGCTGTCCATCCCATATGCCCCACTTGAAGCACTTGAACCACTTGAAACTCTGCTTTTGCCCCTCTACCCTCTCCTGAGGCCCCACTTGGAGCACTGGGTGCAGTTCTGGTTTCTCCAGCATAAGGACTCGGAGCTGGCCAGGTTGGATGGGGCTTGGAGCAACCTGGGCTAGTGGAAGGTGTCCCTGCCTGTGGGACCATGAGCTTTAAGGTCCCTTCCAACCCAAACCGGGCTGGGATTCTCTGATTCTATATGGATGCACCTCCGCATCCACACCCTCTTCCAGAGCCATCTCACCCAGCACCATGCTAGGAAAGCACCCGCATCACCCCAGCTACCCAAGTAATCCCACTTGTCCCTGCTTTTTCCCCACCGAACTAATTCACCCAAATGATGAAGCTGTTGCATGAAGACGAGTGATAGAGCTGCTGCGTTGGCAGTGGATGGGGACACTCACCCTCGGGGAGCTGGAAGACGCTGGGGGGGAAGCAGTGGCTGAAGGAGGAGTAGGCGATCTCGTACTTGTCGTAGTGAGACCCCAGGAGGCTGTTGTAGCCCCGCACCTCGTAGTGCAGGGGCACGGGGCCATGGGCAGAGCTGCCCACCCGCAGCCTGTACACGTTCTTCTTGTGGCCCCAGTAGGAGATGTTCTGCCACACAGCGCAGGGCTGCCCCTGGCACCGCTCGTCCCGCACCCGCTGGGCACAGCACACGAGTTAGAGGCCAGGACCAGAGCAGCACCATGCCCCAGGGGGCACCCCAGCTGCATCCCTTTCACCTCCATCATCACCCGTGGGCCCATCCAGCCCTGTAGGTACCCTGTACTTACCTGCCCTCGGAGGGAGGCAGTCCCCAGACCCCCTGCACCCATGGACCGTGCCCAGGGCTCACCTTGAAGTTCTCCAGGCTGGGGAAGACGCTCTGCGGGGCGATGAGGTCCCCGTCGGTGCCGTTGATGCGGAAACACTTGCGGACGTTCACCTCCGTCTCGGTGGTCTCCGGAGTCACCTTGAAGCTGGCACCAAAGGGCTGGATGGAGCCCAGCTGGTAGGTGACCACTTGGCCTGGGGACAGGGACAGTGCGAAAGCCAAGCCAAACCCCCAGCTCCTGGCTCCCAGGAGGCACCAAAGGCCCTGGGGCAGATGGTGAAGGGTCAGGGGATGAATGGGCCCCTCTCTGCACCCACCACCATAGTACTGGATGCGGCTCTTCCCCCCGGTGAGGTTGTACCAGGCTTCGAAGGGCTCCCTGATCTCCGCATAGGGCAGGCTGATGACTCCTGTGGGGACAGAGGGGCTGAGACCAAGAGGCATCCCCTGTCCCCCTGCCCTGAGCCCTTGGCTGGGAGGAGAGCACTGGGTAAGGATGGAGCCCCCCGGGTGAAGGTGCAGACCCTCTGCTCCCATTGGGGTGCCCCTTCCCCAGGCGGTACCTGTGACATGGTAGATGTCCCCGAACGTGGGGGGCTCCAGGGGAGCTCTGCTTTCTGCTCCTGGAAGAAGAACACATCCATGCCCCAAAGCCCTTTATGCTGCTCATTAACCTCTCTTACAGCAGGGTCTGCTCCCTGGCTCCCTGTGCTGGTGGCAGGGAAGAGAGCAGAGCCCCCCATCCCTGCTGACCCAGAGCCCCCCATCCCTGCTCTCCCTGTGGTGCAGTTCAAGGCATCCTGGAGCCTCCCCCCCACACCATAGGGCATGAGGGGGATAAGTGTGCCCAGTGCCCGTGCCCTGCTCCGGGCATGGGGACAGGGACCGCACAGTGCCCAGGCTAAGGGGCATCACCCTGACCCGCCCCAGGGTGGGTGCTCACTCAGCAGCATGGCAGCACCCAGCACCAGCAGCCACCTCATCCTGCACCCCCCAGCCCAAGCTGCACACATGGGTGCCTTAAATACCACTGCTGGGTGGGCAGGGAGCTGCAGGAAACCAATGGGGAAAGCTTCTGCTGAGGCTAGACCAAGGGGAGGTGTGGCTTTAGGGGTGTGTGTCCCCCATGGGGACCCGTGCCTTTCCCACCCATGCCAGGGTCTCATGAGACTTGGGGTTGGGGCACCCAGACCCCTGTGGGGCTCTGTGGCAGGGTAAAGGTGGGTGCCCCATGGCTGGGTGCTGGGGGTTCCCTGTGCTCCTGCCCACTCTGGGCACTTG